AGAAAATGAATACCAAGAACCTACAACCAAGATTACTTTATTCAGCAAAGCTATCATTCAGAACTGAAGGTCAGATAAAGAGCTTCACAGATAAGAAAAAGCTAAAGGAGTTCATCACCACCAAACCAGTATTATATGAAATGCTAAAGGGTATTCTTTAAGAAGAGGAAGAAGAAGGAGAAGAAGGAGACAGAGAAGGAGAAGGAAAAAGAGAAGAAGAAGAGATAAAAAAATATGAACAATAAAATGCCAATAAATATATATCTATCAACAATTGAATCTAAAAATAAGAAATGAACAAAGAATCTAATGAACAAAATGAACTGATGAATAAAATAGAATCAGAGGCATGGAAACATGGAACAGACTGACAAATGTCAGAGAGAAGCGGGAAGGGGGCGGGGTCGGGTGATGGGAAGTGATTAACCAAACTTCTCATACGCATATAGCAATGGACACAGACAAAGGAGGGTGAGGGCCTGTGCTGGGGGCGGGTGTGGGCTGGGAGAGGTCAATGAGGGAAAATGAGACATATGTAATACTTTCAACAATAAATAATTTAAAAAAAGAATAGAGAATCCAGAAATAGATCCAGTGTATGATCAACTGATTTTAGATAAAAGTACAAAAGCAATTCAATGGGGAAAGAATAGTCTTTTCAACAAATGGATCTGAAATGATTGGCTAGCTATAGGAAAAGAAGGAAAGAACTAAGGGAGGGAGAGAGGAAGGAAAGAAAAGAGAAAGAAAGGCTCAACTTATACCTTGCACCCTAGAAAAATTAACATAAAATGGATCATACACCTGAATGTAAAACCTAGAATTACACAACATCTAAAAGAAAACATAAAAGATAATCTCGGTTAGGCAAAGATTTCCTAGATATAACTCCAAAGGCATGACCAATAAAAGAAAAGAAAGGATGTACTTTATCAAAATCTAAAACGTCTACCCGACAAAAACACTGTTAAGGCAATGAAAGGACAAACCACAGACGGGGGAGGGTGGGTATCTGCAGAACACCTGTCTTATAATGGGCTTGTATCCAGAACATGTTGCTAACTTTTACAAAATCATAAACAAGGAATCAACTAAGTCAAAAAATAGGCCAAACACTTAAACAGACACTTCACCAGAGAAGCTGCACAGATGGGAAGTGAGGAGGTGGAAAGCGAGCGCGCTGTTGGCACACTGGAGTGCGGGAGAGCCGGCTGGACACGCTCTGCTCCCACGTGCAGACAGCCTCCTGACAGCACCCAGTGCTGACCGGCTGTGGGCGGTTCCTGACAGGGTTAAAGTGCTCACTTACCACCCAACCATTTTACACCTGCATGTTTATTTAAGAGAAAAACATGTGTTTACACAAAAACCTGTATGCAGCTACTGGAGGAGGCTTTTTCATAATCACTAAAAACTGAACAGCCCAGAGGTCCCTGGCTTGCTGAGCGAGCTGGGCCCCGCCATCAGAGGAGCGAGGAGTAACTCCATGCAGGCAACACTGCGAGGCAGCCCCAGTGCGTGACGCTGACGACAGCAGCCAGACCCAAGGGCTGCACACTGCACGGCTTTAACTGCATGACCTTCTGAGTGGTTGCCAGGGGCTGGGCTGGGAGAGACTGAACGACAAAGGGCCTGAGGGAAGGTGGGAGCATTCTACATCATGATTATGATGGGGGTTGTATGAGTTTGAACGTCAAAGAGGTGAATGTCTGCTGTACGTGAACCACACCTCAGTTACAAAGAAGGGCGCCTCTTGGCCAGTGGCTGACAGCCTGGGGTTGAGGTCGCCTCTCCGGCCAC